TCCTTTTCCGCCTGTTTCCTTCCCTCCATCTTCCCGGGCTCCAGCACCATATTAAGAAAGGAAAAAGGAGCCAGAGAGAAGGTGCCGGAGGGGGGGCACATGGTGTGGGGGGGAAGGAGACTAAAAATAAGGAGCGGAGCCCAGGGTCACAGAGCCACCAGCACCGGGGACGCCACAGGCTTCCCGCTGTCCCCAAAGCGCCCCCCGCCACGTGGCTCATCTCCATTTGCAGCCCCGAGGAGCCCCCTTGGTCCGCATCGGGTCTAGGGGGCTCCCAGGTGGCCGGTCCCCACATGAGCCTTGAGGTCCCCATGGGTGCTGAGGACTCGCAGCCTTGGGGGCCCTCACTGTCCCTAGATGGACATGGGGACGCCCCGGGGATGTCCCTAAGGCCACCAGGATGGGGGTCCAGCACCCTGGCAAGGCCCTGGGGACCCTTGGGGACCAGGGCTGCCGGGTTCCCCCTCCCCACAGCCCCCTGCCCCATGGCCACCAGCTGCCCAGCTCTGTCATCGGGGAACAGGGCGGGGGGACATGATATTTTGTCACCTCTGTCCCCTTGGATCAGGTATCCACTGGGGCTGCTGACCACTGGCTCAGCGGAAAAGCGGATCCCCCCCGGGTGGGGGGCCTGGACCCCCATCCCTCGTCCCCAGCGCTTGGTCTTCCTGGTGCCCCACAGTGGGCACCAACCCAGGCATTGGGGACCCCCACAGCACCCCCACCTTGGAGCCTGGGGACCTTATGGAGGCTACAAAGTGGCTCAAGGAGGGGCACAGGGACTGATCCCCCCCATCCCAAGCATGGGCTATGGATGTGCAAGACCCCCCTACGGAGCTATGAGGTGCTGGGGACCCCCCGGGACCAGAGAGCGGGAGACGTGAGACACCTGCAGGAGGGTGAGTGGTGGCCGGGACCCCCCGTGTCCCCAGGGTGTCCTATAGACCCACGGGTTGGGCTATGGGTGCCCTGGACCCCCATTTGGAGGAATAAGGGTGCCCAGGACCCCCATGCCCAGGGACATGGGGTGGGCAGGATCCCAGGGGACGGTGCTGTGGGGCACCCGGGACCTCCTTGCCATGGGGGTACCCGTGTGCCAGGGACAGGACAGCGGGTCCTGTCCCCCAGGACCAGCACCTCCGCAGTGGTTGTGCCACCCTGTGCTTGTCCCCCACGGCGCCAGCCCCGGTTTCAAATGACCCTGAGTCGGAGCCGCCTTATTTTTAAACCGCGTCGGACACCGAAACCCCGTGGGCGAAACCTGAGCAGGGCTGGAGCCGGCACCCCCACCTGTGCTGCCGAGTCAGCAGGGCCCAGGCGTCCGGGCGGGCGAGGGTCCTGCCAGACCCCCCGCTCAGGGGTTGCTGGTGACACATCCCCTCTCCTCCCCAAAAGCCCCTTCTTCATGGGGGCCGAGGTGGCCCTGGTGGCGGCACACGGATAGGGGACCGCCCACGCAAGCGTGCGCACGCGCGTGTGCAAGGGCGCTCGTTGCACGTGTGCCACCAGCACCGGAGGGGCCATTGCTGGGGCCACCCTGCCTTGGGGACCGTGGGTCCCCGGGGTTGGGGACAGGTGCCCGCACTCGCGCGTAGCCACAAGGCCACCCGGTTATTTATATCCAGCAGCTGCCAGGATTTTGGGTGATGAGAAACTCCCCAGCGGGGGGGGACTTGGTTCTGCCCCCCTGCCCCGGGTTTGGCCCCATAGGGGCAGCCATTGCGGGGGTACCACCCTTGGGGACACGTGGGAATGGGGCACACTGGGGACATGGGGCACATGGGGAATCATGGGCTGACGGGAAGAAATAGGGATGTGAATGGGGGACAGCGGGGTTAGGGGACATGGGGCGTAAGGGCATGAGGGCTATGGGAGAGAGAAGGGGACAAGAGGAACAAATGATACATGGGGGCACTGGGGACATGGGCATCGTGTGGACATGATGCATATAGGAGTTGATCAGGGCACTTGGGGCCACGGAGGGGACATGAGGGGCACTGAGGACATGGGGAACATGAGAGATACAGGGGCGTGGGGCTTATCAGGGCACTTGGGGACCATGGAGGACCTGGGGAACATGAGGGACATGGGGGGCACTGGGGACCATAGAGGACATAGAAGTCATGGGGACATGGAGGATATGGGGGTTATCAGGGCGCTTGGGGACCACTGGGGACATGTGTGGTACAGGGGGCACATGGGGGCATGGAGGGGCAGCAGGTCATGGGAGACCTGGAGAAGCTGGGGGACAGGGCCCCAACCCTGTCCTTTGCTCCCCACCACGTTCTTCGTGTCCCCAGATCCCTCTCCCTCCATCCCTCCTTGGTCCCCCTTGGTCCCCCACTTCATCCTCTCTTGCCCCTGCCCCCGAGGCTGCCATGTGGCACAGACACAAATTGGGGGGCGGGGGGGGGGCACGGCTGGCAGGGCTTAAATCATTTTATTGCTCAAAAAGAGGGGACGGGGCGGGTGGGTCTGTGCGTTCATGGTGGGGGGCATCACGCTGGGGGCAGAGCCGGACGCCTGGGCCCCGCGGGCCCTGGGTGGGGGGAGAGGGATGGGACACAGCCCCCCTCGCCGGCAGTGCCAGCCCTGGGGTTAGTACCGGGGCCACAGTTAGAGGGTGACGTGGGCAGCGATCGGAGTGGGGGGTCCCAGCACCCCAGGTGCCGTGCCCCTGTGTTAGCACCTAGTAGTAGGTCTCCTTCTCCACCCAACCTGGGGAAAGGGCTCAGGTTAGTGGCGGGGGTTGGGATGAGGGTGATGCCCCCCAACATGTCCCCCCACCCTCCCC